GTTGTCTATTGGGCTGTCACGCGTATGCACAAGTATCTTTATGGCACTCATTTCACTATTGTGAGTGATCATGAAGCCCTGCAGTTCATTTACAACCCTCAACGTTCCCTGGCTAAGTCATCTGCAGCCATTGTACAACGATGGAGTATTGCGTTGTTTGCCTATTCCTATAACATCCATCACCGCAGAGCGCAGTCCATTCCACATGCAGACTATCTATTTATCACCCTACGCCATTTCGGAGGAAACTTCCACGGATGATTGTCTATGCACTATACCGCTCCCGGTAAGCCGATCTGATCTAGTTCGCGAGAACCGGAAATATTACTACGCTATCATTTCCTGTGTCCGTCGAGGTTGGCGAGGTGATATCAAACGTCAATTTCCGGAATTCTATAAACGTCGTGAGGAAATTTTTGTGACGTGCGATGGTGTCTTGTGATACAATGATCGCATTATCGTACCTCCGACATTACGTACCGCTGTTCTCAATGACTTACATTTCGGTCATCTCGGTGTTGAAAAAATGAAATCTCTTGCTCGTCTCACATGCTGGTGGCCTGAATTGAATCATGATCTGAATCGTGTTGCTAAATCCTGTGCTGAATGTGTGCACAAAACTCATAGACAGCCTTCGAACTGGTCTCTGTGGCCAGTATCTTCCGAGTCATGGCAAAGAATATATGTGGATTACCGTGGTCCATTCTTCAACAAGTATTACGCATTGGTGATCGTCGATTCCTATTCCCGTTGGCCAGAAGTGTACCACAACTCCCAGTTCAGAATTTACTATTCGAGCACTCAGGAAAACGTTCNGAGTTGTCGGCATGTTCTCACTCCACCCCGACATTCGCAATCCAATGGCGCANGTGGTCCATTCTTCAACAAGTATTACGCATTGGTGATCGTCGATTCCTATTCCCGTTGGCCAGAAGTGTACCACAACTCCCAGTTCAGAATTTACTATTCGAGCACTCAGGAAAACGTTCAGTAGAGAAGGTGTCCCGCATGCTATCGTGACTGACAATGGAAGTCATTTCACTGCCAAGAAAGTTACCGATTGGTTGAACTCCGAGAGTTGTCGGCATGTTCTCACTCCACCCCGACATTCGCAATCCAATGGCGCAGCCGAAAACTTTGTGCGCACGCTGAAGAGTGCCATTGCTTCTTTGAATCCGAGTACATTCGATGCACTGGACACAGGCGTTGATAACTTTCTGATGCAATACCGTAACGCAGTACATTCAACTACGAGGCACAGTCCAGCAAAGCTGTTTAAGAGTCGAGTACTTCGAACAAATCCTCTATACTTGGAGTCTGCGGAAGTCGACCCTCCAGGGGCATTGCACTAGACAATATGGGACAAAGAGTATGTCGCATTTTGGATCTAGACGATGGCACTGTACATCTCAGACATGTAGACCAAGTAATTTGTAATTCGCCCAATCCTGATACTAGTTGTGAACCTACTAATCCTTTTATTTCTGAGTCTTTTCCAGAGGAATTACATCCCAGTACAGAAGAACCCATTAGATCTGAACGATTACTCAACAAAGCCCACCGTGATTACAGAAAACCGGAGCTTCATTGAAGCTGCTGCGGATGTGGTGATTGCTAATGAACTATGAACTCTTTTGTTTTATTGAACACGATATCCTTGCACATTCCGAATTTCCGCTCATTACAGTTCCGTTCCGTCGCTGAGTTCTGTCTTCTGATTTCATTTCGAGTGCTAGTTCTGGGTTGGACTATTACTGCGCGGAATCCGATACGTATACGAATTACTAGTCCGAGTGCTAACCGTAACATGTTGATATGGTTTCGCATTTCGTGTTCTTCTGTGTTCGCTTTCTAATGCGACGGAAATTGGGCCGAACCATGCTTGCGTTACTCAAGACGAATTGAAAACAGAGCTGCGCTGTTCAATTATTTGTGTACATCGTGTTGTTTTTTGGTCTACCTGGACGTCACGTACGCTACTGGCCTTATGTGGGCTTTCTATGTGAAGAACAAAGTGAAGAAAATAGATGCGTGGGTTGCGAAATTGGGGAATGTTGTTTGTAACTGTTATTTTACTAAGTTTTGGGTTCTAGCAAATTTGCTAAACTGCTCACATGTAAGTTGGTATGCAATCAACCTAATAGGAGATCTTTATCTGATTTTACCCTATCTTTCTGCTGGCACAACACAGAGATGCATTGAGGCCGTTTTAAACTACATCGTAATTTGGCAATACCGAGCAAGGGGAAATCTTGGTGAAAAACTTTTCACTACCTGAAAGGAATAGTTAATAGTACTCATACTTGGGGCACGGACCCTACAAAGTGCAGCGCCCATCCGTTTACCAGGATTAAGTGCAATTTTTATACAGTGTGCCTGAAGATGATCCCACGAAATTCAATCAATCAATCAATCAATCAATCAATCAATCAATCAATCAATCAATCAATCAATCAATCAGTCAATCAAATCAGCTGACCAAAAGCCTTCAGCACACCGTTGTGTGACGGACATGCGAGAAGAGTGGAGCAAAACGAAGCCTCTACGTAGCAGTGCATGGTGGTTCGTGTCCGCCGAAATCGAGCCATCGATCCACCCGGTTATTCCAGTAAGGTGTACCCATCGAGGGCTTATGAATATTAATCTGCTTTGACAGCAATGGTCGTGACTGCAATGCGGTGTGAAAAAAACCAGAACTAAGACCCGGACGCAAGGCCTGACCTCAGATGATGTCAGCAAGTGTGATGCTAGATTTCTGCAGGAGTTTGGTCTCTCTTGAGGGAAGATGGGCAAGGGTAATGACAGGCAGGCGATGCACTCTCCATGAGTCAGTATTTATATAAACAATCCGATATGTAGTCTAATATTTTGTCTAATCTACTGTTAAACAACCCTAAGGTAATCGCTCGTATTATTAAAATGAAAGCGAACGCTGTTGTCCATGTAGGTGTTAGTATCGTGTATCGATTAGTGGACCATTTACTGGAAAAATGATGAGACTCTCAAAGATCACAAAACTCCCTTGCTTGATATCTTCGGATAAACTAAAATACCGTTATACCAATGAGGATAATGAATTGCTGCCGAATTCTGTCACCTTGACCAAAAAGAAGAAAGGGAAGTACTAATAATTATCCACGTCTCTATAGCGAGTTTGTTCTGTAGTAGTCTCGCTACATATGTTCAAGAAATGGTTAAAGCTCGACTACGGGCAGTAGAGCGAAGTCGAATAAAGTAGCTATGTTTATCGATGAATGAAATAGGTGGGGTTCTAAAACTATGCAATAATTGTAAAGCAGCAAAAGAAACACAGATAGCTGAACAACCAAATTACACGATAGTGGTAACAGGTCATGACAACAATTGTGGGAGCCAGTTCTACCCGGTAAACACATAAACGTAACGTTAGCGCAACAGTGAAATCGAAATTGAGAGCAGTTACCGTATGATATCGAAAAGGATTACAGTGAACTCTAGTATCGGAATAAAATAGTAGAGTGGAAAATTATGCTGGATTTAGAGGAAGTGTATTAAATGTAAGCTGATCGGAATGCGATTTCGGAGGACGGTACTAACAAACGAAATACGCGTATAGCCTACTCTTGGTTCCGACGCGTGTGAACGAGCAGCAGTGAGATAGGGAATAAACAAGTTCGTCCTAAGCGTTTTTGTGGTGCAGGGTGTTACGTGTGATAGCAATAAGGGGCATGTTGGTCGAGCCATAGGGGCAGCAGGATTTTATTCGCAGAGCAAGCGTTCACTGGGAAAATCCAACTCTAAGAGTACAAAAATCGTAATTACAGCATCAGAATTTCGCCAAATACGCTGTTTGAATGTATAAACTACCAGAATGTAGACGCCTTATTATGCAAGATAAAGGAAATTTCAACTGTGAGGGAAATAAATACGGATTGCCACTCAAAGGTAAACCAAAGCAAATGGGGAAGAAACATCTAATTACAAATACTAATCAACAATAGTAAAGGGGAATAAGCTTTAGAATAAATTTCTCACAAACAACCATAAATCTAACCCCAAACCAGAGAGTTTTTCACAGCATCCCAGAAAAGCAGAACGTCAGAGTGGGAAGCGAGATGCACGTGCAGTATTACCATTTTGTATTTTAAACGCCACTCCTTTTTCTCACACTCAGGCCATAGTTCATTTCATTACCACCCATCACGATTTCTCATACGGCCTCGGATATGGCGAAATTTCCAGTGAAGTCCGCCGTGCGCTTTCTCTTTGTAAATCTTGATACTATACGTGCACATACAACTGTCAATGCTCATTACTGACATGATTTTCATCTGGGAAGCAAGCAATAAGATCAATTGAATGGTATCGTCATGCGTCGCTGTTCAGCCCGTCTTAGGTGCTGAATTAGAGAACCATCGTAGTGTTTTACTTTTCTATCTACTTCGCTGTGACATTATTTTACAACTTGTATTATTACGCATAAGTAGTTAAAACACAATACAAACTCTGTTCGTGACTACGCACGTGTTCTCCGAGTGTTGCTGAAGCATTACGCGTACATTAACAGTTATCGTCAAGTGGTCCGTAAACTGTCGCAGCCATCCTTTTCAGCTCCACTGCACATTCTCAACCGGAGCCACACTTCCGATGACCAGGATCTGTAACCAACCGTACAATCCTTCTGTGAGTCCGTTTCATGTACTGTTCATTTCAATAATACTCGTACATGTATCTTTTCCACTACATATTTGGTGAGCCTTTGTTTAGATTATTTCTAGTTTCAAATTTTTCTACAGTACCATTGACGGCTATCGTTGACTAGCGGCAATTCGAAGTAGGCACTGTAACCAGTTCCAGGGGTCTGGGCGTCATCGTAACTGCAGATTACAATTGGAGTACCCAGTGTGAAGCTGCAGCACACATGGCAAGGCGACAGCTGTTTCGACTAAGGTCAGCAGTTTCGTGTGGAAAAGAAGACGTATTTATATCCATATACAAAGCCACCGTAAGGCCTCACCCAGAATAGTGTGTTCAGGTTTGGTCGCCCTTCTACAAAAAGGACGCAGTCTGTCTGGAGAAGGTTTAGCACCGAAAACGACCTGGGCAACGATGCGTTCACCGAATCAACCAAGCGGCTTTATTCAGAGGTTTTTCAACTAGGCAACAGATTGAGAACAAAGTCGGGTACGAGCGTCAGAGTGTAATGTGACCTGCAGTCGAAAATGTACGGAGAGCGAAGCGCACGATAAAACTCACCGGAAATTGTGTCAAGTTTGAGGTTATATGTGTTCTTGAAACATATGGCAAAATAAGGTGTTTACATGAATCAGAGGAACGGTGTTGGAAAGTGAAAATAATGTTACTACACAGTCCTCCGCCATAGAAGGTTGGTGAGGAGCAGCAAACCTTCGAAAAGTCAAATAGCACGGTGCGTATGTGTGTAGTTAACGCAAATGACTGTACAGTATACCACGGTTCAGTGATAAACCAGTCTGTTGCAGTCAACGGAAGCAAATGGTCAACACAGGTATGTGTGTGGGTGAATGTAGTTCAACCGCTGACAGTGTAGGAACAAGTACGGAGATCCAAAAGCGTGATGTAGAAGCTCTATCGATGATGAAAGGAGAAATATCACTATTTTCGTACGTGCGCGGAAGAGAAGAAATCATGGAAGACTGCATGACACGAAGTGGTTCGCTCGTAGCCCCATTAATGGCCGACACAAGGGTTTATTCTATTTCGCCTGTTCGCCGAGCTTGGCAATTTGTTTGCAAACGTTTCATCACAAGCCGAGGTGACATCATCAGTGCTTGGGGAGAGGCAGTCTTCTGCTTGTGTCCGTTCGTTTATACGTGTTCTCCACCGACCATTGTTGACCCTTGTTCTCATTGTGTTCGACTGGGTTCGCCGTTAAACTGGTGTGTGAGGGCGAAGTTGGTAGAGGAGGTGGTTGTATATCCGTCCTGATTGCGGTTTCGGTCCGTTCTCCGGTCACGCCATGACCATTTTGTTGCGTCATTTGATCCTTGGTTAGTGACTCGATGGTTGCTGATGTTCATCAGAACCTGTCACTAATGTTTGCTCACGTTCGTTTCGAATATCCGTCCCAGGAGGAAACAGAACCAAAGATTGGGTTTGTGGAAAACGAGACATTCTGAGATCTTCAGAAAGGTTGGAAGTAGGTTTGGCTAGGCCTAGGCTGTTATCTAAGCAACGGCAGCGGAAACCTGAAAGTAGATCTGATCAATGCAACGAAAGCGTGCGATACAGAGCTCACCGTGGGGAATTGTGTCGGTGCACGCTTTTCGAGTTCATTAAAAGAACGCTAATAGTTAAAGCAAAACTCAATCCTGGAAATGTCCAAGTTGCTATA